AGTAGAAGCCCTAAAAAGCCAAATTCCTAAAGTAAGCAGAACCGACCAAAGTCTCCCACAACAGGGGAGGTGAGCAGGACCCCCTCCAAACTTCAGCCTCCAGCTCCCTGCTTCGACCAGAGCCTTCTGACCACAAGAGAGCACCAAGAAGGACACAGATCTCGCGCTTGTCTCGGCGGAGAGAATGCTGAACTCATCCCCCTCAAACCCCAGGCACACAGCTCCACCTTGGGAGCCACATCAGGACATGCCCCAACAAGTGACCAGCATGACTACACCCCCAATCTCTTTCCCCTTCTAGAGGAGCTGCTCCCTGGTCCTTCTTTTGCCCTCTACAAAACGGCTTCTCCAGACCTCCCTGAAGAGTAGTGTGACTGGAGGAGTGGTGAGTGGTAGCTGACAAAGGAGGGTGTGATAGGCTCCCGCCCCGGGGCATGGGAGCAAAGAGAGCATCCCGGATCTACACTGAAGACCAGGTCATGCAGGCTGGCAGAGGCAGGTGTAAGTCACCCATCCCCTCCAGCTGTACACAGAGGTGCAGGCCAGTAGCAATACTATACAAAAAGAGTAAATCTGGGGAAATCTCACTACTTGAGTTCAAAATATATTACAAAGCCTTAAGAACCAAAGCAACATGGTACTGGTACAAAACAGACACGGAGAACAATGGAACAGAAAGAGAATCCAGGAATAAACCCAACAATATACCGCCAACTGATTTTTGACAACAGGCACAAGATGATCCAGTGAAGAAAAGACAGTCTGTTCAACAAACAGTTCTGAAAAAAACTAAATATCTAACTGCAGCAAAATGAAACCAGACCCTCATCTCTCACTATTTACAAAAATTAATTCAAAGTAGATTAAAGTCTTAAACAGAGCCTTAAAACTATAAAACTATTAGAGAAAAACACAGGGGAAACATTTCAAAATATTAGAGTAGGCAAAGAATTCTTGAATAAGACCCTGGAAGCAAGGGTAATAACACCAAAAACAGGTAAGTGGGATTACATTAAAAGCTTCTGCATAGCAAAGAAAATGATAAAGAGACAACCCACAGGAGAAAACACTAGCAAACTTTACTTCAGATAAGGAATTGACAACCAGAATATAGAAGGAACTCAAATGTAGCTTACCTACACACATAAGTAACACCTAATAATTCCATCAAAACGGGTGATTGGGTCAGCTGGTGGCGTGGTGGTTATAGAATCTGCAGTTTGAATCCCAGACCTGGTGGCTTGAAAAACACGCAGGGAGCACATGTACATGTGCCCCAAAACCCGAAAGGATGGAGAAATTAAGGAGAAAGGATTGTATTATGACCATTCTCCGGAGAGATGGGGAGAGGTATGCTTTCTCATTCCCCAGGCTCCTCTGTCTCTGTCTGGTTAGCACACACACCCTCCCACAAAGTAAAACAAAAACAAAAACAAAAACAAAAACAAAAACAAAAACAAAAACAAAAACAAAACAAAAACAGGGCAACTGACCAGAATAGAAAACTCTCAAAGGAAGACATATGAAAAGCTAAAACCACATGAAAAATGCTGGACATTTTTTCATAAGGAAGGTGCACCTCAAAACCAAAACGAGATGTCACCTAAACCCAGTTAGGACAGCTAAGGTCAAAAAAGAATATGGGTCAGCCGATGGGTGTAAGTTGAGGCAACTGGATCCCACATGGCCAGCTGCATGGTTAAAATCCCAGACCTCACAGTTTGAAAAACCCACTAGGCACCTGTGCACACATGCCTTAAAAAATCCTAAAAGGAAAAGATTTGTTTTTGCTTTTGCTTTTAAAGAATTATTTAATTTTATTTATCTTTTTTTCCCTTTTAATTTGCTACAGGCCACATGTGCTCACAGAGAGAGAGAGAGAGAGAGAGAGAGAGAGAGAAAGCAAGCTGCCAAGTCCAGGACTCAAACCATGGTCAGCCATGTGGGAGTCCAGCACTCAACCAATATGCATCTGCTGGCCCAGGAGATGCTTTTGTACTTTCCCTCTCTTTCTGTTTCTGATGAGCACACATATGCTATAGCAAATAATAATAGTAGTAGTAGAAATAAAAAATAATAACAAGTGCTGGTAAGTTTGGAGGAGAAAAGGAAACCTATGTGGAACTGTAAATTAGTATAGCCACTGTGAAGAATAGTGTGGAAGTTCCTCAAAAATCTGAACCCAGAATTACCATATGACCCAGCAATGCTACAACTGGGTATATACACAAAAAGAGAAAATCACTCAATGGAAGAGACCTGCATATCCATGTTAATTGCAGTATTATTCAAAACAGTGTAGTCATTGAATCAGCTTAAGTACCTATAAACCAATCAATGGATTGGGGAAAATATGGTATATGTACTCCTCAGCCATAAAGAACAATATCTCGTCATTTGATACACTGGGATGAACCTAGAAGACGTAATGATAAGTGAAATGAGCCAGACTGAAAGATAAATGTCCTCACTTAATAGGTACCAAATGTCTACATTCTAAGACAGAAAATGAAGGACTTGAAAGCATAAAAACAGAGTGTCAGGGCCAGAAGGCAGCATGGTGGTTAAGGTGCTGGACTCCTACAAGGCTAACCACAGTTCAAGTCCCAGGTCTGGCAGCTTGCTTTTTCTCTCTCTCATGAATACAAGTACACTGGAGCAAATTAAAAAGTAATGCTGATGATAAAATTAAATAATTATTTTAAAAAAAAAAAAGAAAGAAAAGGAAACAGATAGTGTCCTGGTAGACACCAAATGCTGCTTGGTGGAGGTGGGGGGTCTAGAGAAAAACTTTAATGGACACAAGAATGCATATAAACAATGGGAAGAGGTTCTGGGATGTCATACTACTGGTGAGAAAAGTATGTGGACAATTAAGTATACATTTTTAAAAACTAGTAAAAGTATTAGCAAATGTATATAACATAATGTAACATTTAATGCTGAAGAAGATGAATATGTGTATATCCTTGATTTCATCATTACATGCTGTATGCTTTAAAAAAATCATACCAGTAACTCATAAAGATATATACAAAATATATATAAAATATAATAAAATGAACAAATTTTAAAATAATTATCCCACAGGCAAGAAAGAGAACCAAATTCATAGCAGTGAGAAGATTTTCATTTTATTCTCAAGCTAAAATATATATACACACACACACACAAGAAAAAACAACAACAACAACAACAAAAACCAGAGTGGAGTTGATCCAAAAAGCACAGATAAAATATTCCTAAGACTATTTCTAACTTCAGAATATATTTGATTTTCACTTGCTATTGCTATGTCACTGAGATTCTGAGTGCAATTGAACTGAAATAGCAAAGATTAATTGCAATGTACTTGGGACAAAAAGAACAAGGTAAATTTCTAAATCATATGAAATATTTTAACCTGAATAAGAGGTAAACACCTTTCTTTAGGCTATTCTTTCCTGAGACAAGACAAAGCCAAAATACATAAATTCTCTGAAACGTGAATAGTGTTAAACATTCCAAGGAGGGGCCAGCAGATGGCATAGAGGTTATGTTGCTGGACTCACACATGGCCAACCACAGTTTGAGTCCCAGACCCAGCGGGTTGAAACTCACACCAGGTGCATATGCATGTGTGTGTGTGTGCTCAAAATCCCAGGAGGAGACGGGAAGAGAAGAGATTGCAGCATGGTCATCCCCCCTTGGGGTGATTTCTCACATTCCCTCTCACTAACTATGTCTCTCTCTCTCTCTCTGTCTCTCTCTCTCTGTCTCTCTCTCTCTGTCTCTCTCTCTCTATGGTAAGTGCACAAGCCCTAAGGCAAAAACTTCTATTAAAAATAATATATTCATACACATTACAAGGGAGTTTCATTTAGCTGGCAAAGCTTTCCTGAGCACCTCGGTGCAGAGAACTGAGAGACTCTTTCTGTGCTTGCAGAGAATGGAGTCCACCAGAACAGCTGAGCCATCAACATACAATGCAAAAGGACAAAGTTGCAAATCAACTAAAAAGAAAATTAAAGAATAGGGACCAGCAGATGGCATAATGGCTACGTCATTGAACTCCCATGTAGTCGACCACAGTTTGAGTCCCAGACCTGGTGGCTTAAACTCACACTGGGTATGTGTGCATGTGTGCCCAAGATCCCAAGAGGAGAATGGAGAAGGGATTGCAGCACGGCCATCTCCCCTGGGGCATGATTTCTCACCTTCTGTTTCTATGTTTCTGGCAAGCACACACACCCTACTGCAAAAATCTCTCCCCAAAGAGAATAAACATACAGAAACATGATAAGTTGATGTAACATACACAAACATTACAGTATTAATTTTTACAGTCAAAAGGAAATACTACTCTCTCTATACATATAGATAGATAGAGAACTATAATCTCTAGGTCAGATGTGCCAAGGATAATATATAAGCTAAAGTATGCATTAATTTAAAAATGGTAAGAATAAGAAAGAAAAATCATTACACACTAATAAAATTCATTCAAAATGAATATGATTAAATAAAGAATTAAACAAGAATATGCTTGGTCCTCAACTGCCAAAAGTATTAAAATGTTAATATTAAGAATAGCTATTTTGGGGTCAGCTGATGACATGGAGGTTAAAGCACTAGATCCCACATGGCTGACTCTGCAGTTCAAATTCTGGACCCACTAGCTTAAAATATCTCACCAGGAATGTGTGCACCTAAGATCCAGAGAGGCAAAGAGATTGTGGCATGGTCATCTCTCTCTCTTTCACTGGCAAGAGCATGAACCCTTATATCAAAATCTTTAAAAAAATAAAATTAAAGGTCCAATTTTCTATTTTCAAAATAGTTCTAAGAGTCTTCTCATTACATTAACTATTGTACAAAGAGAGAAAATAATTGACAAATGAGAAAGTCAATTTACTTCAAAGTGAATGCTTTGGCTTACCCAAGTTTTCTAAGGATTTTATGTTGTCACGCTTCAGATTGTCCATTTTTTCTTCCATTTCCTCATCGTCACCATCCAAATTACTTTCTGTTTCCACTGCTCCACTTAGAGTAAGGGCTGGGGGTTTTGGTGGCTCTATAATGGTTCCTAAAATAAGAATGATTAACTTGAAGCACTAGGAGCTAAGAACCATATTTAAGTGAGCTTATTTCACTCCTCTTGTCCCACTTCACAACCGTATCACAAGCATCTTATGTAACTTAAGATTCCTTTAATCTAACTGCCATGTATGATAATGAATCAATTCCTTAAAAATACACTTGTTGGGGCTGGCTGGTAGTAGAGCCGTAAAGTACAATGCTCTGTGTGACTAGCCCACATGGGAAGGCTCCAGGTTTGTGTCTAGAGACCTCCCTGAGTATGCCAGACACAACCATGCTCATGATCCAGGCTGGCTGAGGCTGGGGATGAATCATGACATCAAGATCCTCTTGGGGCGCTGTCTCTCCATCTCTTTCTCTCTCTTTCTCTCATCTCTCTTGCTCATGGAGAAAATAAACTTTTCTTTTTTTTTTTTTTAAGGAATTATTTAATTTTTTTCATTGTCACTATTTCTTTTCTTTTTCTTTTCTTTTTTTTTGAAGTTGCCCAGAGAGAGACAGAGAGAGAGAAGGAAACTGAGAAAGCAAGCTGCTAGGTCCAGGACTAGAACTGTGGTCAGTCATGTGGGAGTCCAGTGCCTTAGCCACCACACCAACTGCTGGCCCCTAAATAAATAAATGTTTAAAATAATAAAAAATAAGCCTGTTGGGGCCAGCAGGTGGCATGGTGGTTAAGGCGCTGGACTCTCACATGGCTGACCACAGTCTGAGTCCCAGACCCAGGGGCTCGAAAATCATGCCAGGAATGTGTGCGTGTGTGTCCAAAATCCCAATAATTTAGAAGAAAGGATTGTGGGGTTTTATTACATTCTTTTTTTTATATTTTGTATGTGGAAAACTTCCTATAATAAAAGGTTGAAAAATATAACCAGTTATAATTTCCAATGATCTTAAAGTCAAACTAAATCACACAGAGGATTTCTTTTAGATTGTTAATCCATTGACACTTATAAATGCACAGCCCAGAGCCAAATTAAGTAATGCCAACCATTCATTGCACATTATTCACAATAACTAAGGGGTGGAAATAACCTAAGTGTACACGTATAATAAATGGAAAAAGCAAATGTGGTATATACAAACAATGGAATATGATTCGGTCTTTAGAAAGAAAAATTCTACTATATGCTATAACATGGATGAACCTTGAGGACATAAGGTGAAGTGAAATGAACTAGTCATGGAAGGACAGATACTGCACGATTCCACTCATGTGAGGCATCTCAGGTAGTCAAGCTTATCAAAACAAAGTGTTAACAGAATAGTGGTTCACAAGGGCTGGAGGGAAGGGAAATAGGAGGCTGGTCAACAGGTACAGAATTTCAATCATGTGAGATAGAACAGTGCGAGAGACGTTCAATATAATCATGTGCCTATGGCTCACACTGCACTGCACACTTAAAAATGTGTTAGCAGGGTAGATTTCACGCTACGTATTTTTTGTCACATACACAAATTGTCAACCTGAAGCTCCTAGAATGGCTGGGGAATACCAGTTAACATGCTAGTAGAATTTATAGTGCAAAACAATGTGATTGCGTACCACAAACAGTATGCATTTAGGTACACAAACAGACATATGCGAGGTGCACACATACAAGGTGTTTGGAGGAGAAAAGGTAAGCTTTAGGAGAGCTAGAAGCCAGATAGCTTGTTTCAGTAAAACGGACTTCAATACTGACAATGTGCAAGGCATACAACGATGCGGACCCAGGACAGGGACCAGGCTATGACGACTCTCCTACATAACACAGGTGACTACATGGTGCACTAAATGCCACAGCAGGGTACTTTGCAAGGATGCAAGTGGAGCACATAAGGAGGACACCAAACCATGGAAAAGGGGGTACAGATTAGAATCAGAATTTAACCCAATATAAATTTAAAATGTAGGCATACTCATTAAAGAACTGCTAATTTGCAGACACTTATTTGGTATATTAGACTGAAGCCAAGGATTCCACCAGAGCTATTAAAAACCATTATATTGGGGCCAGCAGACAGCATAGCGGTTGTAACGCCGGATTCCCACATGGCCAGTCACAGTCTGAGTACTAGACCTGGCGGCTTAAAACTTCTGCATGTGTGTCCAAGATCCCAGGAAGAGAATGGAGAAGAAGGGACTGAGGCATGATCATCCTCCATGGGAAGTGAGTTTTCACTTTCCCCTCTACTGTTTCTGTCTTTCTCTCCCATGAGCACAAGTACCCTAAGGCAAAATCCTCTTTACACATTGTGCTGTTGACAGGGTCTCTGTCTTTCAGCAGCAAAATTCCCATGGCCCCATAAAACATAAGCAGTTCCAATTTAAATACAAATCAATATCAGCTGGAAGCAAAGGTTTCCAGGCTCTTTATATCTTCAGAGGAATATTTCCAAAGGAAGGAAAAAACTTATTTATCTTATGAGAAATTCAAATAGAAGTATTTCTTATGAATTGTATCACTTGTCACTCATTTTAATTTGAATTATGGGCTCCCATGATTGTGAGCTTATGTTGATCCATACGTTTATAAATTAGTAATTAAAAATCGACATGCATAAAATTATATTTCTTCCATAATGAAGATTTACTATTTTTTATAGCTAAGCAAAGAAGTATTACTTTACAAATAATAATGTTCTTGACAGAAATCTATGTTGTATTTTCTCTCAGTATACTTCAAAATGTTAATCAAAAGACATATTAGAATAAAAATATCATACGGGACCAGCAGTTAGCGTAATGGCTATGTTGCTGGACTCCCATGTAGTCGACCGCAGTTTGAGTCCCAGACCCGGTGGTTTACACTCACGTCAGGCACGTGTGCGTGCATGCCCAAGATCACGAGAGGAGAATGGAGGAGAAGGGATTGCGGCATGGCCATCCCCCCGGGGGGGTGATTTCTCGCTTTCTGTCTCTCTGTCTCTCTCTGTCTTTCTGGCGAGCGCACACACCCTGTAGCAAAAACCTCTAAAAAAAAAAAAAGGAATAAAAATATCATAAAATCTTGGGCCAGCCATAGATGTGGTAGTTAAGACAGCTGGATCCTACATGGCTGATGGCACAGTTCGAGTACAGGACATGGCAGCTTGAAAAATACACCAGATGCCTGTGTGTACATGCCCAAAACCCTGAAAAGAGAATGGGGGAAAAGTTAAAGTGTGGCCATCTCCCTGGAGGGTGTGCTTTCTCACTTCCTCTGTTTCCCTCTCTTTATCTCTCTATCTCTCCAGTGAGTGCACATGCCTCACGCCAAATTAAAAAAAAAAAAAAAAAGTAATATAAGATCTGAAGTCTGCAAAATGTGAACACCTTGATCAAAAGGTATTAAAGTTTTATTATTTCAAATACAAGTAATGAATAAAATGAGAAAGCTCTTTGGTAAAATAATTTCTATCTCCATTCGGAGACGCTCTCAGAATTTAGTGCATTAGCAGAGTTCACGTTCAAACATTTGGACTGGCATGTTATAATAATCAAAGACAATGTTCTTCGATGCACAAAGAGGCTAATTCACTTCTCCACTGCTGCATTGTACAAGGTAGGCAATTTTTCCTACTCAGACTCACAGAAATTCCAGAACTTAGCTCTTCTTCCAAACCCAGACTACTTTAAGGGCAGAAGGCTGATGAATTAACTACCTCTGTGTGAAGGCCGTTCAACTGGAGAAGCAGATGAGGACGTCTTCCTCCGAACTAGGGTTAGGTGTACCACCTGCCCTGCATTTCGTAGTACTTCAACAACATCCTGATTGGAAAAACCCTCAATGTTCACACCATCCACCTAAAACATTAAAGGACACATTACACAGAGGTTTCAAGGTACCTACAATTTATAATTCTGGCAAGGCCAAATAAAATGAGGCAATTCGTTTTATTCAAAAATAATTTCTATTAGGCCATAGAAAGTATTTTTGAATAAGGATGCAAAACTAGTAATAAAACATGCTGACACACTCCCTCACCAACTAGAAGGCAAATTCAAAGCTATCCTCCTGAGACATACATCTTAACTAGCAACCTGAGAAAAGTAAAAGGTTTTTGATGTGTGATATTTTTCAAAATTTAATATGCCATGAAAGATAGTCAGTTGCTATATATACATATAGCTCCCAAAATGTGTAATGAAAGCCATTATTATCAAAACTGAAAAGGTCATCCACCGTGTCATCCTTCTGTCATCTCTATGTGATCTCTTCCAAAGAATCACACAGGTTTGGGAACCAGCAGTTAGCGTAATGGCTATGTCGCTGGACTCCCACGTAGTCGACTGCGGTTCGTGTCCCGGACCCGGTGGCTTAAAAAAACTCACGCCAGGCGCATGTGCGTGTGTGCCCAAGATCCCGAGAGGAGAATGGAGGAGAAGGGATTGCGGCGTGACCATCCCCTCTGGGGGGTGATTTCTCGCTTTCTGTCTCTCTGTCTCTCTCTGTCTGTCTGGTGAGCACATGCGCCCTATAGGAAAAAAATCTCTCCAAATAAAAAAGAATCACACAGGTTTCCCTTCATTATGTCTTCTAGCGTAATGGAAAAGTATGTGCAAGAAAGGTATCCTTGGGCTGGCAGGTGGTGTGGTGAATAAGGATACTGGACTCCCACTTGGTCAACCACGGTTTGAGTCCCAGACCCAGTGGCTTGCTTTCTCACTTTCCCTCTCTTTCTCTTTATCACTCTGTCCCTCTCTGGTCAAATTAAAAATAAATTAAAATTAAGTAATAACCATAAAAAGGCTTATTAAAAACAATAAAAAAAAACAAAGGTATTTTTAATCTAAATAGAACCCAGTTTCATATGGATGAAGTCCATAAGGATGACCTCCTCTTCTCAACCTTCCTCAAGCCAGTTAAACCATTACTTTAGTTTCTTCCTAAGTATTTTCTCCAAAGAATCCACTGTTACTGCTGGCCTGCAGACCCTGCAAATCAGTAAGACATATTCCAGGCCCATAATGTAATTGCCAAGAGTCATGAAAGAGGCTTCCTTAGTTTAAGGATAAAGATTCAAATCATATCATCCAACATTTGTTTCTATGTCATTGTGTGTGTGTACAGATATTTACACAAACACACACACATATAAAATTAACATCTACTAAATGGCAGAGGACCAATTTTAAAAGAAAAATGCAATTATATTCCCCAAAATTTATTCTGTAACAATTTTAGGTATGTTCAAAAGTATTGTTAGGACAAAAACTCCTTTTACAAAGAGATGAAAAGAACCAGTTTATTAATTGAATATTAAAATGGTGAATTTAAAGAACACATAAAGATGCTTGAAAAGTGTTTTTTAAGAGAATGCTAGAACATTTCTCAAATGTTAAGTATGTGTTGGGTTGTCAGAAAAGTCATGACATATTTTTCTATGTTTTCTATGCAAAAATACATCATGACTTTTCCGACGACCCAATATATTAAAAATGTATGTATATAAAATGTATTTCCTACCAAAATAGTTCATCTTTTCTTCACTCACAGTTAAAAATTCATACTTTGGGGACCAGCAGATGACCTAATGGTTACGTCGTTGGACTACGGTTTGAGTCCCAGATCCGATGGCATAAAACTCATGCCGGGCACGTGTGTGTGCATGCCCAAAATCCCAAGAGAATGGAGAACAGACTGAGGCATGGCCACACCCACTGGGGTGTGTGTGTGTGATTTCTTGCTTTCTGTCTCTGTTTCTGTCTCACAGGCAAATGCACATGTCCTATAGCAAAAATCTCCTTTTAAAAAAAAATTCATACTTTGGTACATGAGAGTCCCAATTAATGAGATTTCAGTGTACTATCAAACTAAATTTATTAAAACATTAGGAAACTACATTAAGCTGCTCCCCACTTAGACATATTATAATAAAGATCAACCTTTTTTCCAACCTGATTCAAAACTAGAAGAGGACAGTTACTTACAGCAATTATTTTGTCATTCACTTGAATTTGACCATTGTGATATGCAGCACTATCTGGTATTATACTTTTCACATAAATCCCTGACAGTTCCCCTGAAGGTGCAGAAAAAAGAAGAAAACTCTAATTAGGCCTTGATTGCAAAATTCATATCAAGAGGTTAATTAACTAAAGAGGCTGACTGGAGGCTTGATAAATACTATTTTGAACACAAGCAGGGAAATTGATGGATTATTTCAAACTGTCACCATCACAAGTGACCTGAATTCAAAATGATATGACTGATGATTACTTCTCTGGGAAAATAATTGGTGATAGAACCTTGATGAAATGCACTTCAATCTAAGCTGGAATTCAGGAGAGCCCAGGTGAAGTCTGACCTGCTTCTTTCGGTCTATCTCCATTCTTACTGCTGACTGGACATAAGCCTGCATTTTTCACAGGTACTATGAAAAGAGTTTCCTAACTGGTTTTTCTGCCTATATTTAGTTCACTGCTCATGTTAGCTTCTCAAACACAGAAAACAGATACTATCTGTGATCTTAAATAAAAGGGGGCTGAGGGTGGGCAGCTGTGACATGGCAGTTAAGATGGCTGAACTCGACATGGCCGACTTTGGTCTGAGTCCCAAACCCAACACCCTGAAAAATACGCCAGGTACATTTACTTGCATGCCCAATATCCTAAAAGGAGAAGTGGAGAAGAAAGTATTGCAGTGTGACCATCCCCCATGGGGGATACCTGTGCACATGCTTTCTCTCTCTCTCTCTCTCTCTCTCTCTCTCTCTCTCTCTAGGGTACGCTTTCTTTTTCTCTGTGTGTGCAAATGCCTTCTAGAAAATGAATAAAAAAATAATGAGGTCAGCAACATGAAATAATCTTCATAAGACATCTAAAACAAACAAATTGCTTTTTAAGAATTACAACTCTATGAAAAAGGATGTATTCCTATGGTCAAAAACTAGAAGGGAAATAAGAAAAGAAAAAAAAAATTGGGGCTGGCAGGTGGTGTGGTGGTGAAGGGCACTGGACTCAAACATAGCCGACTGCAGTTCAAGTCCTGGACCGGGTGACTTGCTTTGTCACCTTGCCTCTTTCTCTCTCACTCTGTCCTTCTCTGGTAAGAAAGAAAAGAAAGTTAAATAAAAGAATTCTTTAAAAAAAGAAAATCTTAAAAAACCTAGGTGATTTCACCTTTTTAATTGATTCATTTCAAATGAACTCAAAACAGTCTATAAAGGAAAAATAAACAATGAGTCCTGTTGCCTTCATAATAATACACGAATTTTATAGAATCACAACCAAGGTTCTCCATTCTCTGCCCCAAACTTATTTTTCTACTTCATCTTTCAGTATATCCCTCCAAGAGGATGAAGTCCAGACCCACTACAGTTGACATTCCTCCAAAACACCAACTATGTTCAAGATTTTCCCCTTTCACTTAATGAATTCTTTCTTCCTGTCAACCCTGTTCTATCGAAAGCCGCCTCCTTTTCCATTATTCGCTCAAATGCCTCATTTCTGAATTCTCCATTTCCCACTGCGAAAAGCAAATATTTCATCTGCTATTCCATGTTACAAGTCTGCTTGTAACCCTGCTAAAACATATATTTCATTTACCCTAAAACAATTAAAAAGGTGTTTACAGGTTTGTCTTTCTGACTTTGCTTATTTCCCTACTTGCAGATCTAACCAAATTCTTGAAAACCCAATACAAATAATGAAATGATAAATATTTTGAAAGACTATTGTTAAAAAGCAAGTTGAGTTTTAAAAAGTTCTACATTTGAATTCACCTGCTACCCTCCCCCCATCTCTGATTCTGAACCATCTAATTCCTTAAACTTCTTCTGAAGGTAAAGAGGTAAAATTGTTCTTTTCTTTACTCAGTAACATAAATATAAAAATTTCTTAATTTTCCACCAGTTGCTCACTTAGGAACTAAGCCATAAGTTTAGAAATTAAGCTACGATTCCTCTAAGCAGACTTAGCATGTTGAAAACTACTCAGTGTGTTTTTTGCAATGTTATTCGACAATCCATACTTAGCTCTTTTGGAACTCATTTAAATTCTGAACCTAAAAAAAGTGACACTTAGGAGAATCTAAAGGTTTGAAAAAAGATATTTCATTAGGCTAAAATAGCACAAGGTGGTCTGACATGAATTTCTTTCAGGACTTTGAATATATTAGCACTCTTAATCTTTTCACCTGCTGTAAGTATGCAAGATAACAATTTTTTTTTAACTTATGCTCTAATCTTGGTACTTAAAAAAACCTAGAACAGTTCATAACTCTGAATTTTCATGTTATTAGCAAATATTGGTGAAAAGTTTCTTTTTCCCTATTCCTTAACAATTCTCTTATTACAACGGAACAATTGTTATAGTAACAGTTACCAGGACCAACAGTTGGTGTAATGGCTATGTCGCTGGACTCCCATGTAATTGACCATGGTTCTAGTCCCACACCCAGTGGCTTAAACTCATGCCGGGCACGTGTGCGTGCGTACCCAAGATCCCAAGAGGAGGATAGAGGAGAAGGGATTATAGCATGGCCATCCCCTCATGGGGGGGAGGGGGGGATGATTTCTTACTTTCTGTTCTTCTGTCTCTGTCTTTCTGGCAAGCACACATGCCCTATAACAAAAAACTCTCAAAAAAAGAAAAAAGAGGTTAACCAGCAGTTAGCGTAATGGCTATGTTGCTGGACTCCCACGTAGTCGACTGCGGTTCGTGTCCCAGACCCAGTGGCTTAAAACTCATGCCGGGCGCGTGTGTGTGCATGCCCAAGATCCCAAGAGGAGAATGGAGGAGAAGGGATTGCGGTGTGACCATCCCCCTGGGGGGTGATTTCTTGCTTTCTGTTTCTATGTCTCTCTCTGTCTGTCTGGCGAGCGCACGCGCCCTATAGTGAAAACCTCTCCGAAAAAAAAAAAAAAAAAGAAACAAGAAAAGAAAAAAGAAAAAGAAAGACAGTTACCAGTTTTGTAGGTAGGAGTTGAGAAAGTTTTATATAGAGATACTTGAGCCATGTATTTATTTCCATAATTTATTCCTTTTAGTAGAAAGGAAATAACTCTAGTAAAAATACTTGCTATTATCTTATTTTTTAGTGATTGAATGTAATAGCAACATTCTTTGGACATAAATAATATGAAATACATGGTTAACTACTTTATTACAAAAGTAATACATTCTAACAGTCACAATATTCAAACCTTATTTATTTTAGAAACAAGACGAAGTACAATTCAAACGTCATACACTGAATTAGACTAGTCTCATTAATGATTATTAAGTTAGCTATAAAATTATTGAGCTAAAAATGTGATTCTGTAATCACTGAAAAGTAACTGGTTGCTTTAACAGATTCATAGTTTTATTATTCAAGGTTCAAATTAAAATCTGCAGGTATTTAATTTTACTGTCCAGAAATCTTAACATCCTTTACAATTATTTCCAGATATAAAATAGGAATGATTGATTTACCTGTAGGTGTTCCAACATAGCCAACAATTCTAATTCCAAGACTCTGTCCATCTTTTTTAATGAGTTCAACATTGTAAGTTTCAAAAAGAGACCTCTCCTAAAAACATGAATGAAATCGAATACGTTTAGTCACATAACTGTATCTGCAGTCGATTGGCGCTAGGTGTGTCAGGTACTTTCTTAGCGCCTGTGGCAGGCAGAATTTTAAGAAGGTTCCTATGATCTTCAGTCTCTGGAGCTACCACTGCATGTCAAGAGACAGATTATCCAACTGGGCTCAGTCTAATCATAGGAGAACTTTAAAAGCAGAGATGTTTCTCTTGCCAGTAGCAGAAAAGGAAATGAGAAAGATGGAAGTATAAGGGCTCTACTTGTGGCTGAAGATGGAAGAGGTCATGTGAGGAGTGCAGGGAGCCTTCGTGAACTAAAAGAAAAGAGGTCCTTGGCCGACAGCCAGCAAAGAGAAAGAGGCCTTCACCCTGTGGCTGCAAGGAACTGTACTCTGCCAACAATCTAAATGAGCTTTAAAGTGAACTGTCCCCAGAGCACCCACAAAAGAGCTCAGCCAGGCCAACGCCTTGAATCTAAGAGAAAGCCCAGCCAAGCCCACCCTGAGTTCTGACCTAAAGATCTATGAACTAGCAAAGGGTATTGTTTAAAGTTCCTATTGGTTGTCAGAAAAGTTATGTCTTTTACAATAACCCAATAAATTTGTGGTAATATATTATAAAACAATAGAAAACTAATAGAATCATCTAGGGAAAAAGTAAATAAATAAAAAAACCAGCCTATATTTGTATCTGAAAGAACTACAATCCTCAAGAAGACATTAGAAACAAAATGTAAGATGAATTATTGTAAGTAATCTAAAAAAAGAAAGCTGAAACTAATTTTAAATGCTTGTCTTTTGAATATTTCTCTGAAGGAGTAAAATATATACGTGTAATGCTTTGCTTTGAAAACATTAACTTCAGAATTAAGTTCCCACTTATTACAGTACAAAGTAGCTTCAGAGAACTAGGTTATTGCAAGGAAAATAACATGGCTATAACCACAAACTGGAGAAATAATTTTTCTTCAAGTTTCTAATATCTCACTTAGAAAACTTCTGCTCATATGGTTCTAAGTAGAAAAAGTCAAACACCTTTCCAGAAGACACTTGAGTGATGCCTCAGAGGAAGATGACTAGTGGCCTTTCACCCTTGTCTACCATCATCAACTCCCTTCCCTCTTCCTCCTGGCCTTTCCTTTTTAAAACAATTTCTTTGTTTGTACCTTGGAGTGTCTTTATTCAGAGCCTGTGAAACAGAGGGAAAGTGCTTGGAATAAATCAGAAAGATTTTCATTCAAATTCCAGCTTTGCAACCTACTCCCCGTAAGGCCTTTAGTATCGTGTTTGACTTTGGTTTCCTCATCTATTAAATGGATAAGACTATCTTGAAGAATTTACCATGAGGATTTCAGATGACCTGGACAATTCTAGGTGCTTGAAAATGACTAATAATGATATCGATCTTAATGTCCACTCTTTGTCTAGTCTTGATGCTATCAGTGATCATCCTCATAAATTAACTAGCATTTATAATTTTCCCTCGGATGTCACTTCGCCAACTGAATAAATAAACCAGGTAAGTCTTATCATTGAATGGCTGGGAGGAAAAAGGAAAGAAAAAAAAAAAAAATCAAGCATACCTACTGGCTCCGAACTAGGTTCTCTTATTCTTCACTGACAGCACTGAGTCACAACTCGCACGAATGTGGTACTTTGAGTTGAAAGAATTTCTTAAGCTGTAGTATATCATAACCAGTATTTGACTTAAGCTGAAAGAGAGTTTTGTGTACTCACAGAATCGAAGCTCTTGCTGGCTTTAGTAGGCAGGGCAACAGGTAATGTTGTAGGGGCAGGAGGGGTTACTGAAATTTCACCAGTTGGGTTTCTGGCAACTAGCATCCTGACTGAATTCCCACAGTTCCTTAGCACTTGGGCAACTTGCTCACTGGTCATTCCCTGCACATTCGTGGCACCAATCTTCAAGATGTGGTCTCCTGTCTGGAGTCTTCCATCCTTTAATCCAAGAAAAAAAAGTTATTTTTAGAAATCAGTGCTCTACCTTCACTAGTTAACAGCAATTCATCAGACTTTAAGTTCTGGCAAAATGGTTGCCAAAACAGCTACCTAAAATGCTAAATAAAATATAGTATTTTTCATGAATAGTTAAATTGCCAAAAGAGTAAAGGTATTCCTTAAAGAATACGAGACAGAAGCGGTCAAAATAAGAAAAATAATCAGTATTCTAAAATGGGCATTTGCTTGGAAGTATCAATTTATGCCTAATGGCCTAGAACCAAGAACTAACACCCATGTATACAAGGAGGAGATCAGAAAGCGCTGAACCTCAGGAAGGGACAGAGGTGAGAAGAGAAGGCTCCAGGAGAGCATGAGGCTAAAAGAGAGTGCTCAAAGAAAGGACAGAGTTATCAGAGATAAGACAGCACAGGGCCTTATCTCTGGCTGAAGGGAAGTCATTGGAAGGTTCTGAAAGGCATGGCTTATTTTTAGCGATATTGTTCAAGCTTCTGTGCTTAAAAGGAAAAGGATATGAGAGAAACAGAGAAACCAGTTAGGAGGCTTTAGCAATAATCTAGAAAGAAATAACAATAGCTTTGACTAGGTTAGCAGTTAGGGTGTTAACAAGTGAGATTTTAGATGAATTTCCTTTTCTTTTTTCTTATTTTTTTTTTAAGAGAGATTTTTGCTATAGGGCATGTGCCCTGGCTGGAGACAGAAAGCGAGAAATCATCTCCCAGGGGGTATGGCCATGATGCCATACCTTCTCCTCCATTCTCCTCTTGGAAGTTTGGGCATGCACACACACACTCCCAGCGTGAGTTTTAAGTCACCAGGTCTGGGACTCGAACCGTGGTTGACTATGTGGGAGCCTAGCAACATAACCATTATGCTATCTGCTAGTCCCTCTAGGTGAATTTCCAATGAGCTATGATGATCTGTTGATAAGCTTCTATACAGAACATTGGGGTGGAGGAGGGTTCAAAACTCCAACAGTTTAGCCAAGCAACAGAGTTGTCACGGGGTAAAAATGGGTGGGAGTGGAGATCAGAAGTTCAATTTTAGAGATACATAGTCCAAGATGCCTATTCCACATTTGATAGACATAAATACACAAATTTGGAGTTCAGGAGGTAAGTCCAGAGTACATATTTAAATTTAGGAGTCATTGCATATAGAAAATATATAAAAGTGATGATTTTAGATGAGCTTAAAGAAAGGATACATAATGTTCTATTTCTTTTTTTTTTTTTTTTTTTAGTTTTTGTCTTAGGGTGCATGTGCTCACCAGAGAGAGAGAAACAGAGTCAGTGAGAGGAAAAGTGAGAAATCACCCCCAGGGGGACGACCATGCTGCAATTGCTTCTCTTCCATTCTCTCAGGATCTTGGGCATGCATGCACACGCACCTGGCATGATTTTCAAGACACCTGGGTCCGGAACTCGAACCTCAGTTGGCCATGTGGGAGTCTGGCAATGTAACGACTATGCGATATGTTGGCCCCTATTCTATTTCTTAGGTATGCTGATGTATATATTGGTGATTATGATTATAATTATTATTTAAAATATGCACAAGTATTATATAAATTCTTTTATATGTTTAAGAAACAGAAAAGTTCAAGATACAATTTCTCAATGTATCCTTTCTTCATAAAATTTTTTTTTTTTTTTTTGAGAGAGATTTTCACTGTAGGGCGCGTGCGTTCGCCAGACAGACAGAGAGAGACAGAGAGACAGAAAGCGAGAAATCACCCCCCAGGGGGGATGGTCACGCCGCAATCCCTTCTCCTCCATTCTCCTCTCGGGATCTTGGGCACGCACGCACACGCGCCCGGCGTGAGTTTTAAGCCACCGGGTCCGGGACACGAACCGCGGTCGACTACGTGGGAATCCAGCGACATAGCCATTACGCTAACTGCTGGTTCCCTCTTCATAAAATTTTTGAAAAAGCTAGTTTTTTTACTAAATTTGTTTCATTAGAAATGTTGAATTCTCTTTACTTATCTTTATTACAACACATTAAAGATGCCAAAATATCAACATAGCTGGTTTAAACAAAAAGAAATAGACCTATAGAACATAGAATATCTTACAGGTTAAAAGTCACTTTCATGTATTTTCTCATTTAAAGGACAACTTTAACATGACGGAATTGACATTGAAAAAGGGTTTTGATTGAGGCCAGCAGGTGGCATGGTGGTAAAGGCATTGGACTCCCATATGGCTGACCATGGTTCAAGTTCTGGACCTGGCAGCTTGAAAATCACGCTGTGTGTGTGTGTGTGTTGAAAAACTCTCTGTGTGTGTGTGTGTGTGTGTGTGTGTGTGTGTGTGTGCATGGCAAATCCTAAGAAACAAACGAAGGAGAATGGGTTGCAGTGTGGCTATCCCCCCCTGGTGGGTGATTTTTTTCTTTGTCTCTCTCTGGTAAATGCACATGCCCTAAGGCAAAAAAAAAAAAAAAAAAATGCAGACTTGACCAAGGTCATGATGCTAAGCGACAGAGCCAGGGTTCAATCTGAGTTGTGCACTGAAGACCATTTTTGTTTAATAGCATGACATTTGCCTTATCCTTTGACATTATACAGAGTAACAACACTGTAGCAACTTAATTTCATCTACACAAAAGCTGCTGGTATAGAGTAGATTTACTGTTTTGCTATTCTTCAAGGAGTTGCCTATAACTGTCAAAAAGCTGGACTAACCGGCCGATTGCTAGTGTGCTGGTTAGGGCAGCTGGATCTCACATGGCCAACTGTGTAGTTTAAAAGACACACCGGGCATATGTTCACATGTGCCCAAAAGCCTGAGAAGAAAAAGAAGAAGGATTACAGTGTGGCCATCCTTCCTGGGAATGCTTTCTCACTTTCTATCTCTTTTTCCCTCTCAAGTGAAACACATAGGACCTAGAGCAAAACAAAAATTTTTAATTAAAAAAAAAAAAGTTTAACTAAAATGAAGATGAAAAATGCATATTTTGCAACAAGGAGAGTAAGCCAGATTAAGAATAGAACAATGGGGCCAGCAGGTGGCATAGTGGTTAATGAGCTGCACTCCCATGTGGCTGACAGCAGTTCAAGAACCAGACCTGACAGCTTGAAACTCATGCCAGGTATATGTGCATGGGTGCCCAAAATCCTTAGAGGAGAATGGAGAAGGGAATGTGGCATGGCCATCCCCCTCCGAGGGTGTTTTCTCATGTTCTGTCTCTCTGTCTCTCTAGCAAGTACATGTGACTGACAGCAAAGACCTCTTTAAAAAAAAGAATAGAGCAATGACCATTAGGTTAATGTGATTCTGATTCTCAGGTTCATATTCCTGGTTCTAGGCAGCACCATGTAGTGATATGTCATAGATGAAATTCTGAGGAATAAGTTTTAAAGAGCTTTAAGTCCCGCCATGGTGGTGAACTGGGAATAAAATGCCCTGCAATGTTGATGCTGATGCCATAAGGAAAGGTACATGCCAGGTGTGGGCCTATATGATCCTAGCTGGCTGAGCCTAGGGTAAGACTCACAGTACGAAGATCCTGTTGAGAGTGCCTATATCTCTCTCTCCTTCTCAGGAAAAAGAAACTTTAAAAAGAAATAAACAGGAGGCAGATGACGGTGAAACTCAATGCTGAGAAGCTGACTGAAATGAGAAGAGTGCTGGTCTGGGGCTTAGAGACATTGGGCACAAGTGAGCCCATGAGCTGGGGCTAGCTGAAGGCTGGAGGTGGACAGAAGAGTCAAATCCCTACTGGGGGTGTCCTTCTCTGTCTCTTGTTCTTGCAAGAAATAAAAACTAATTTTAAAATAAGAAATTTTTAAAAGCATTAAAATCAAAGAGTCTACTCCCCATCTTTCTTTTCCTCCAATTTTGTAGGAACCTACATGAAAGAAGGCTTTAGATCAAAATAATGAGTCCAGAGCCGTCTGCTTTGTTGTATATGCTGCAGAAGGCACTAAGCATAATTGGAAGTGGAGAGAAGGGTAGCAGAGATACAATTCAATTCAGAAACATGCATAAAGACTTAGAAAACAGATGCAAGGAAGAGATTATTATGAAAAAGGAATAAAGAAGTGCTGAATTTCTATTTTCAAAAAAATTTTTAACATAATTATTTATTTTATTTATTATCATTATTTTCCAATTTGCTACAGGGCATGCATACTCACTAGAGCAAGACGGGGAGGGGGGGGAGAGTGTGGGAAAGCAAGGCACCAAGTCTGGGACTTGAACCATGGCTGGTCATGTGGGAGTCCAGCACCTTAACCACTACTCCACCTGCTGGCACCATTAATGATAATATTCTGTTTTCATCCATACAACAGACTTGAAATAAAATAAGCAACTACTGTAGAAAGTCAATGGTCCTGATGAAAAACAAGAGCAAAGCTGCCCCTGTGAATCAAACTATTCCTGAGCACAGTTATGACCTGACCACAGAATAAGGAATATGTCTAATAAATGTTGTCATATTTGGCTTGGTCAAAGAAGGGTATTTCACCTCAAGGAATATATTTAGTCATTTCCTAGACACTCTTTTTTTTTCCCTGTTTTATCTCAACTCTTAATTTAAAGTGATGTAGATAATTTGCATCTGTCACTGAAAGTCAAACAGTTTCTTCTTACAGAAAAACAGGTGTTCTAAGGAATTCATAAGTGCAAAAATAGTCATTAGTCAGATTGATAGGACAGACACCAAAATGACAGCTACCTTATCTAAGTCCAGCAGCTCTGAACATTGCATATTATTGATATTTTCTATCAACATTCCCCTTCCATAACCTGTCTACTGTTCAAGGAAACTAAAAGGCATAAAGTCCATTTTGTTCTTTAAACCATAAATCAATAAAAGCCAATAAATATCTATGCCAAGAATCAAGCACACAGCATGCAAATCAAGCATTCAAATATAAACATTTATTAACCTACAAAATCTTTTTTTTTGGAGAGGTTTTTTGCCACAGGGTACATGCACTCGCCAGAAAGACAGAGAGAAACAGAGAG